GATATAGATATAGATATAGATATAGATATAGATATAGATATAGATATAGATATAGATATAGATATAGATATAGATATAGATATATAGATATAGATATAGATATAGATATAGTTATAGATATATAGATACAGATAGATATAGATATAAAGATATATAGATATAAGGCCCCCGCATTTGCACATAGAAGAGCGTTTTGGGTGCATCAGCAAACAAAAGTTGCTAATTTTTATTTACTTTCTTAAACAGAAAATTCAACAATAATAAATTCCCCTGGTGTGAGGGGCAATGCTTTACACATTATGCAAATATTGGGGCCAAAGTAGATTAAAATAAAAGATGTCAGTTAGCTGCAGCAACATGTTCTCATTTTGAATAAAAATAAATAATGAAAGATTTGCAAAACTGCAGCAAGTCATTCTTATTTTGAATAAAAGTAAATAATGAAAGATTTGCAAAACTGCGCGAAAAGGAACATTTGAAAAGGCGACAGCGCAGCCCAGAGTCTGCGGTGTCTGTACACCCTGCACTTGAGATCAAGCACATTCAAAAAGAAAATGATTTCACTTTATTCTGTTGACTCATTTTAAGTTTTCGGGGATTTCCAAAGGCTCGCAGATGCAGGGAAAGCTGCTGCTTCCTTGCAGCGCTGCTGTCTTGTTTCCCTTTTTAAACAAGCTGCCAGCAGCGAGCAGCAGCTTGCTGCTGCTTGCTGCTGCTTGCTGCTGCCTGCTGCTGCAGCAAGTGCGCGGCCAGCAGCTTGCTGCTGCACATTCTCCTGCTGCTGCTTCGCTGGGCATTGAGGAGCAGCAGCAGCAGCAGCTGTTGCCAGGGTGCCGTGAATGGGGTGTATGTACACCCCATCATGTACACCTCACCCAGGGAACACCGAAAAAAGGAAAAGTCGAAAAAAGGAAAAATCACATTTTAGTTTTGAAAAAAGAACAAAAGGCTAAAGGAACAAAAAGGGGGAGGAAATGGAAAAGGGAAAAGCTAGCCAGTGAAGTTGCATGCACTTCGAAACAAAATGGGCAAATGAGGAACCAAAAAGACAAACACAAACCGACACGCCCGCTGCAGCAAAAGCAGCAAAAAATAAAAATGAAAATAAAAATAAAAATTAATATTTCCGGAGTTGAAGGGCCAGCCCCCAGAAAGGCGGATGCTAGTTGCTTCTCTGTGTGCTGCTCATTTGCTGCAAGAGCGAGTGCTGTTGCGGCTAGCTGCAGCTAGCTGCGGCAGCTAGCTAGCAGCAGATAGCTAGCTGCAGTGAGTTTTCGGTGAGTTTTGAGGGGGGGTGGCTGTCGCGCAGCACAGCTAGCCATGGCTAGCCACTGGTGCTGAAGCTCGCTGCAGCATTCCGAATTCATGATGGGTTGGCTAGCTAGCAGAGCAGCAGCTAGCTACGCGCACTTACAGCCGCTGCAACGCGCTGTCTTGTACGCCGGCTAGCTGTAGCTAGCTAGCTGTAGTCAGCTAGCTGCACCTAGCTAGCCGTAGCTAGCTAGCTGTAGCTAGCCACTGCAGACCCTGTTGTTTCTGAATTTCCTGCCTCCGAATTCCCAAGAGCTGCTGCACAACGCGGGGATCAGGGGGGCCCCTTTTGGCGAAGTCTGGGGGCCCCCTCCACCCTTTATTCTTTCTCGAGTTGCTTTTTGCTGGCCCCAATAGCTGCTTGGAGTGCAGCTGCTGAGCTCGAAAACAGCTTGCAACTGCAGTTAGCTGTGGCTAGCTGTGGCTAGCTGCGAGCAGCCAGGAGCTGGACGCAGCAGCTGTGCATCCAGAGGCACAACCGCGCCGGCGTAAGCCAAGCAGCAGCAGCAGCAGCAGCAGCAGCAGCAGCAGAGGCCTCGCCTGCTGTATAATAACCGCTTCGGGGCCTCTGCGTCAGCAGCAGCACCTGCTAGTGCTGCAGCTGCCTGGCCCCACACTGCATGCAAATGCTGCTCGCATGCGCATGCATGCGCATGCATGCGCGACTTCAGCACCTAGAGCATAGGATAATGCAAAGTTTCCCTGACTCAACTATGCAAAAATTAATAAATTAAATGTTTAATAACAGCTTCCAAACATGCACTCAGTATAATTCATCTTTTAATGCCAACAGGCAGCTGCTGTCCACTGCGCACCGGGCTCCATCCTGCGGTGTACGTACACTGCAGACAGAAGCGCCACTGAGTTGGAGGTGCAGCAGCAGCAGCAGCTCAGCTGTACGTACACACTGCCCTCTCGAGCTCACAGCTGTGCCGTTGTTGAAGCTGCTCTACTGGCCCCACTGGCTAGCTAGCAAGGCGCCTAGCTAGCTGCTTGGCTAGCTGCCTAGCCAGCTGCTTAGCTAGCTGCCCAGCTAGCTACTTGGCTAGCTGCTTGGCTAGCTGCCTAGCTAGCTGCTGGGCTATCGCCAAGCTAGCTGCCTCGCTAGCCGCCTAGCTAGCTGCCCAGCTGGTAACAGTTAAGTTGCTGCTGCCATTTGCAGTGCAAATTCAAAGAAATGCCTTTTTGAAAAGAAGACAGAATTAAACAACGGCGTCAATCATATCCGCCCCCAAAAGGGAACACTTCAAACAGATGCGCAGCCAGTCAGAAGAGAAGCTTCTGAGCAGCAGAGAATGAAAAAGAGCCAAAGGTGACCGGCAGCCCACTGCAGCAGCAGCAGCAGCTGCTGCTGCTGCTGCTGCAGCAGCAGCTGCTGCTGCAGCAGCAGCAGCGGGCGCTACGCGTCTTCCCCCACTGCCCCTCGAATGACAACGGAGTTCGGGGAGGTGGGGCACCTCCTGCGGTGCCGCAGCGCATATCCAGGGGCCTGCATAACAGCAGCAGCGCAGCACAGCAGCAGCAGCTGGTGCAGCAGCAAGAGCAGCAGCAGCTGGTGCAGCAGCAAGAGCAGCAGCAGCTGGTGCAGCAGCAAGAGCAGCAGCTAGCTGGCCGTGCGCAGGCCAGCGGCAGCCCCAGGAGACACAAGACACTAAGGAATAAAAAGGGGACCAAAGGGGAAATGAAAAAAGCAAAATAAAACAAATAAAACTCACAGCTGCCCTCTCTTCTGTGTGCTGCCGTGCTGCAGCAGCTTTTCTTGGGTCCGCCCAGGGGGCCCCCTGCAGCTGCAGCAGCTGCATCTTTCTATTGTAAATCCCCACAGCCTCGCTTTGCCTCATATAGGCACAGAGCTCGGGGTCTGCGGGGGCCCCTGGGGGGCCCCCCTGGGGGGCCCCCCAGGGGCCCCCCGTGTCTTGACAGCTTTCCCTCATGGGAAGCAGCAGCCGCCGCCGAACCCAAACTCGACAGTCTTCAGTCACATCTTTAATTGCGCGCGCAGACACCGTCATGACCCTGCTGCTGCTGCTGTTGCTGCTGCTGCTGCTGCTGCTGCTGTCCCGGGTACACATTTTGGGAAGCGAGGGGGAGGGCCCCTGCTCTGACAACAGGGGCCCCCAACTAGCAGCAAACCACTGGTCCTCCAGTGACTGCTTTTGCCGCATTAGAAGAGATGAAAATAGCACAATGTCGTGCGATTTTGGCTCCTCAGACTGCTGCTGCTGCTGCTGCTGCTGCTGCTGCTGCTGCAGCGTGTCTAAAGCGAGGCAGCAGGCAGTATAGTAGCCATAGGTCTGGATAGAAAAGGAGCGACTTGTGGGTGCTTCGGCCGCTGCAGACTCTGCTGCCAAGCTGCTGCTGCTGCCGTTGCTGCTAGTGCTGTTGCTGCTGCCGCTGGCAGTGCTGTTGCTGTCGCTGAAGCTGTTGCTTTTTGCAAGGTGCGGCTGCTGCTGAGCAGCATCTAGCTGCTGCTGCTTCGCTGCCTCGCCTTGCACTTCCTCATCGCCCTGCTGCTGCTGCAGCTGCTGCTGCAGCTGCTGCTGCTGCTGCTGCTGCTGCGCTGCACCCGCAGCAGCAACCTCTGCGAGCTGCACTGTCCACGCCGTCGGGGAAACAGAAATGGCCGAATGGGGGGGCACTTTGCTTTCAACAGCTCGCAGCGTCTCCAGCCCTGCAGCAAACAGCAGCAGAGCAGCAGCAAAAGTGTTTTCCAGAAGACCCCGCGCCAAATCTAGCTGCTGCAGCTGATCTCTAGCTGCTGCAGCTAATCACTTCCAGCAGCAGCTCACCATATATTCGCAGCAGAAACTGCTGCGCCAGCTTCTCCCTTTCTGCTCTGCCTACTGTTGCAGCAGCAATTAGCAAAGCTTCTTCAGAAGGCACCCCAAGGGCCCCTTCGTCGAGGGAATTCTCGCTGCTGCTGCTGCTGCTGCTGCTGCTGCTGCTGCTGCTGCTGCTGGCGGTGTCAGTGTCTTTCCACTGCACGTCGAATGCGCCTTTGTCCTTGGCGAGGCACATTTGTCTTTTCCACCGCTGCTCCAGCTGCTGCTGCTGCTGCTGCTGCTGCTGCTGCTGCCGCTCGTCAGCAAGTTGCTGCGCGTCCCGCCCCCTTTTCTGCGGCGCTGCTGCTGCGCCCAGCGCAGCAGAACCCCCCCCTGTTCTCCGTTTTAGTTCAAGTCCTTGCAAGTAAGTTTCTAAAAGGGGTTGGGGGGCCCTTTGTGGATAGAGGAAGACATGTCTGTGTCGCTGCCGCAGCAAGTCGAAGGCTTCCTGCAGGGGCCCCGCTGCTGCTGCGCTGCTGCTGCTGCTGTTGGGCGAGGTGTGACCCGAAGCCTGCTGCTGCAGCACCCGGCAGATGATGCAAAAAGGCTTCTTCTCAGTCGCGTCCCCGGGCGCTGCTGCTGCTGCTGCTGCTGCTGCGCTGGCTGCTGAGCCGGAAGCAGCGTCTGCTGCTGACTGCGCAGCAGCTGCGCCTGCTGCAGCTGCAGCCGCTGCTGCTGCAGCCTCACACTCTACTTGCTGCTGCCAGTGCGGCTGGCACACGGAGTGGATCCGATCCCAACAGCACTGCACGGGCGGCGGCAGCAGCAGCTGCGCAGCCTCGCATTGTTGCAGCGCCTGAAGAAAGCAGCAGCAGCAGCAGCAGCAGCAGCAGCAGCTGATAGGAAAGTCCAGCACCCGCAGCCCTCTCTTGCAGCTAACCATCCACCACAATGTAAACAGCCGGGAGAAGCAGCGGCACGCAGCAGCAGCAACAGCAGCAGCAGCAGCAGCAGCAGCAGCAGCAGCAAACACTCACCTTGGCACAAACAGCAGACAGGCTGAGGGAAAACTCCATAGGGAGACGGCGAATGTTAAGTCCTCCTGTTGTCTCCTCCGTGAGGGCCTCCTTTTCAAGCAGTTCTTTCCTCAGCTCTGCTGCAAAGTCTGCTGCTGCTGCTGCTGTTCCATTTGCTGCTGCTGCTTCCTTCCCTCCTGCTGCGTCTGCAGCCACTGCTGCCAACCCCTCGCTTGCTGCTGCTGCTGCTGCGTCCAAGGCCGATGGACACAACGGCCGCTGGTGCCGCGGCCGCAGGTCGTCTTGCTGCCGCTGCTGCACCTCGTGCTGCTGCTGCTGCTTCTGCACCTCTTGCTGCTGCTGCTGCTGCTGCACCTCTTGCTGCTGCTGCTGCTGCACCTCTTGCTGCTGCTTCGGCGAGGTGTCCTCTGTCGTGGGGCCTGCATTCTCAAGGGCCTCCCTGCTGTCGCTGCCAGTTTTGTCTTTGTGGCCCAGAGGGCCCTCCATATCTCGAGGGACAGGAACTGCAGCAGCAGCAGCAGCTGCTGCTTCTGCTGCTGCAGCAAGTGGCTCCGTTTCATCTCCAGCTGCAGAAGCTGCAGCTGCTTCAAAAGGCGCGGCACAATCCCCTGCAGCTGCAACGGAAGCGCCAGCATCCTCTGGGGCACCAGCAGCTGCTGCTGCTGCGACGGGCTCAGTGCCAGCTGCTGCAGCAGTTTCAGCTGCTGCAGCAGTTTCAGCTGCTGCAGCAGTTTCAGCTGCTGCAGCAGTTTCAGCTGCTGCTGCTGCAGCTGCTGCGGCGGACTCTGCGCCAGCAGCTTCAGCAGTTTCACCGGCGGCAGCTGTTGCTGCTGCAAGCTCAGCGCCAGCTGCCGCAGCAGTTTCAGCAGCAGCTGCTGCGGGCTCAGCGCCAGCTGTCGCAGCATCTGCAGCAGCAGCAGTTGCTGCTGCAGCAGGCGCAGCGCCAGCTGAGGCAGCAGTTTCGGCAGCAGCAGTTTCAGCAGTAGTTTCCGTAGCAGTAGTTGCTACTGAGGGAGGCTCAGCGCCAGATGCTGCTGCTGCTGCTGCTGTTGCAGCTTCGTCTGCAGCAGCTGCTGCTGCTCCTTGCTGCGCAGCTTCAGCGCTGCAGCCAGGAGCTGCTGCGGCGCTTTTGCTGCCAGCAGCAGCTGCTTCTTCCGCTCGTTCTTGCTGCGCTGCGTCAGCAGCAGCAGCAGCAGCAACTGAATGCGCAGCTTCAGCAGCAGCAGCACGGGGCTCCCCGCATTGCTTGACGCTCTGCGGCTGCCGCTGTTGCTGCTGCTGCTGCTGCTGCTGCTGCTGCTGCTGGGAGTCTACTCTGAGAAGGGACTCCAGCAGCGGCTCCGAGGGCAGCGCAGCAGCAGCTCGGATGAGTCTAGAGAGTTCACAAAAGAGAAATGAATTGTCTCTTTGCCACTCATTGACCCCCAGACCCACGCTGCTGCTGCTGCTGCTGCTGCTGCTGCTGCCTGTCTCCTCTCCCGCAGCCAAGAGACAAGCAGCAAGCGAAGGGGCCAGGGGGCTCGCTGCTGCGTCTGCAGCCTTATCCTCTCCGCCACTTGCTGCTGCTGCTGCTGCTGCTGCTTCTGGTGCTGCTGCTGCGTACTTCACGGGGAAATGCGGCAGCTTAAACGCGGCCTGCAGCAGCGGCTTCAGGCGCGCCAGCGCATCGCGTGTCAGTGCAGCAGCAGCCGCGTCCTGCTGCTCATCGGGCTGCAGAGCGGCAGCAGCAGCAGAAGCTGCTGCTGCTGCTGCTGCTGCTGCGGCCACCGTGTCCTCCCCTTCTAGAGGAGACGGCTCCTCAAGGCCTCCTTGGTCTTGTCCCGCGGGCCCCACATCGACTCGCCGGGGCCCCGAGAGGCCCCGCTGAGACCCGGCAGCAGCAGCAGCAGCAGCAGCAGCAGCATCCCCAGGCAGGTGCTGCTGCTGCTGCTGCTGCTGACGGCGACGGGTGTCGTCGTTGTCCACCAAGGTGCACGGCTGCTGCTGTTGCTGCTGCTGCAGCAACTTCACGATGCGACTCAGCAGCTTTGCCCTCTGCTGCCGCAAGGAATCTCCCTGCTGTTGTTGCTGCTGCTGCTGTTGCTGTTGCTGCTGCTGCTGCTGTTGCTGCTGCGGAACATCAGCGGCGCCGCCTTCCTGTTGGCGCTGCTGCGACAGTATTTGCAGCAGCCGTCCTTGCTGCCGCTGCTGCTGCGACAAGAAGTTGACGAGACGCTGCTGCAGAGACTGCGGAGCCTTTTCTCCGTTTGTTGCTGCGGGAGGCGCAGCAGCAGCAGCAGCAGCAGCAGCAGGCGTTTCTGCAGTCCGAAGCGGCAGCAACATTTGCTGCTGATGCCGCAGCACCTGGATGCAGTCCAAAAGGTGCTGCACCGCTTCGCCCTCACGCTGTAGAAGGGGGCGTTGCTGCTGGTGCAGCTGCTGCTGCTGTTGTTGCTGCTGCTGCTGCTGCTGCTGAAGCAGCAACTGCTGCTGCTGCTGCCGCTCATTCGTTTGTTTCATTCGCTCCAGCTGCTGCAAACGCTGCCGCAGCAGCGCTATGGGCTCTTGGTGCTGCAGCACCCTGGGGGCCCCACCTGGGGGCTGGTTGCTGCAGCCTGCTGCTGCAGCATCAAGAAAGAGCTGCAGAGCCGGGTCTTCTTCTGCTGCTAGCTGTCGCTGCTGCTGCGTGTGCCGCTGCTGCTGCAGCTGCTGCGGCAGAACTTGCTGCTGCGCAGCGCCGGGAGCAGCAGCAGCCTGCGGCGAGGGGGCCCCAAGCAGCCGGTGAAGCTGCAGGAGGGTTTCCCCAGACAAGCTTGGCTTTTGCTGTGGAGTCTGAAGCTGCTGCGGCTGCTGCAGTGGCGTTTGCTGGCGCTGCTGCTGCAGCTGCTGCAGTTGCTGCTGGAGCTGCTGCTGCTGCAGCTGCTGCTGCATTTGCTGCTGCAGGTGCTGTTGGGCGGCGCCCGCATTCTGAAGGATGCCGTGGTGATCTGGCGGCGGTTGCTGCTGCTGCTGGTCCGCAGTCAGCTGCAGCAGGAGCTGCTGCAGCAGCTGCTGCTGCAGCTGCTGCGCCTGAGGCCTGGCAGCCGCATGAGGCTCCTGCAGCGGGCCCGCCGTAGGCTCCCGCGTGTCTGCCTTCAGCTGCTGCTGCTGCTGCTGCTGCTGAGGGTCAGCCTGCGCTCCCGAAATAACGTGCATGTTGCAGCATAATGGTTCGCAGGCAGGGGCTCCCCGCGGCCTCGACGTGAGGCCCCAGCAGCCCAGCCCATAGCAGGGGGCCCCCCCTGCTGGGCTCGACTAAGAGGCCCCCCGAGATGGTGGGGGCCCCCCGAAAACTAGGGTTTGCTGCGGAAGAGAGCAGCAGGCAGGGTACATGGAAGGCCCTGGAGCTGCACACAACGCGCAGACTGGGGGGATAGCCCAGGAAAAGAAAAGCCCCGGGAAATGAGCAGCAGCAGCGGGAGGGGAAAAGACACGACTGCGGTGCTTGCGCCGCTCGTTCGCAGCCACCCCCGACCCATGGGGGCCCCACAGACAAAATATTAAGAGAGGCTCTTTTTTTGGAAAGAAGAAGAGGGAGCTGCAGCGGCGGGGGCAGCGGCGGGTCGGCTGCTGCTGCTGCTGCAAACTGAGACAGTGGTGTTGCTGCTGGTGCTGCTCGTTGGGGCCTGGGGGAGCGCGTCGAGTCCCTGTGGCCTTCTCATGATATTCCGTTAGAGTTCCCTTTCAAACAGCAGCCTTTTCCGGTATCACTTTTTTAGGTTTTTGCTCCCCTTTGTGCTGCTGCTGCTACTGCTGCTGCAGCCCAGCACAGAGCAGTTGGTGCAGCCACCCAGGCGCCCCGCGCGGTGGCGAGGGTGTTTATTTGCCCGAATGTATGCTCGTTGAGCTCTGCTGCCTTCCGATGTCGAATAAATGCATTTAAGAAGTAAAAATAGAGCAAAACAACACTCAAAATGACAGCCTACCAGCAGAACGCTCGCAGCTGACCGCAACCCCCTGGGTTGACTGCTGCTGCCGTGAGCCCACGCTACTCAGGGGACCAGCTCGAAGTTGTTCTTTTCTTGGAAGGCGTTTCAGGCCCCTTTATCTCTTCTATTTTTATGATTAGAAAGTGAATAGTTCGGGCTTGGCTTGAGTCTTTTCTGGGGGCGGCCCAACAGCTGCATTCGCCCAATGGCGCCTAGGATTCTGGCGTCGTGTGTTAATCCTGAGTCTCATGGACTGTCTGGGAGTAACTTTGCAGCGTCCTTTCCAGGCAGTTTCCCTCATAGATAAATCTTGTAAATATTTGCAACAAGTCACGCAGATTCTCGCCGTAGCGGCAGCTTCTTTCGCAGGTGAATACACTTCTGCATCATCTGAACAACTGCAGCCTTTCGGTGAGCCATGAGCCCTGACGGAAAGGCTACAAATGTCCTGCTGCGGCGGCCTCTGCGTGTAGTTAAGCCTTTCTTATTGTTAATAAGTGTTTCCCCGTTGCTGCTGGCTCTTCCGGTCAATTCGCAGGCTTAATGAAGCCTCCTGGCAAATCGTGCTCTGCAGCAGCATCAGTTCCCACGACGCCCACACACAGAGAAAGGGAGCCACCAGAGCCAGCCAGAGTTGCTTGTTTGAGACTCAGTTTCCTTGTGACGAATTTGCATGATGTTCTGTAAGCAAATAAGCTCTCCGTGATGGCGCTGCCGTCGCTGTTGCTAGACACCGGTGTTCTTGCTGCGCCTGTTCAATACATGAAGCACGGAAAGGAATCTTAAGCCTCGTTGAACTCTGTTTTCAAAGCTGCACTTGTATATTACGTATACACTGAAGAAACAGCGTAAGATACAAACGACGGAAGACGGATGTGAACTGGTGACCCTCACACCGTGACACTGGCATGCACCAGTGCTGTTTCGCGTCGCGTGGGAACCATCGCATAACTGACACTGAAATGCTGCAGTTATCTACTCCCTAGTTTGTTGTTTGCTTGAACTCCTGAGCAGGGCAAGCCTAGCTTTTGATACATGCGGGCTAAGTTATGTCGGCGCAGCTTGACACCGCCTTTAAGAATCTGTAGGAGCTAGCAACGGCTGCAGTGCATGTTTCTGCCTATTGGACAATTTTGCTGGTATCTTCTCGGTCATATTTGGAGTCACTTCTTTTAAAAGCCGTCGCAGTGTGCATGCTGGCTCCTTTGGGTTAGCTCACTGTGGCATGCCACAGCAAGGCACGTAAAGCCAAAAGCCTGATGATGCCGGAAGCTTTGCTCTAACAAACGTTGAGCTAGAGTAGTTACTTTATCGCCTGCAACTTTGGTTCAGATTTTCTTCATTGCACCTCTTCCTCCTGAGCCAACGAGAGCAGCTGCACAACACAAGTATTGACACGGCCGTCACAATGCTGAAGACAGCTTGGATGCACGGGTTGTCCAGTGGCGTAGTATTCACAAGTAGCAGAGCTCGGTGTGAGCTGCAGTCACTGCTGAATAAATAGCCCAGCTACAAACTAACAGTGACAGTTATTACACTAGTTTCCTTTACTTCTAACGAAAAATGCTACGATCCGCCGATCCGAATGAACATGTGAAAAGCAGAACTGATCTGTCCTAAGAGCATTGCCAAAATTGCGGCACTTGAAAGCATGGAGTATGTGTACTTGGATGTTCTGGCGTGTGACTTGAGGCCAGCTGTCCTTATTTTCTCCTTATTCCCAAAAACGCGATGGAAACTGCCATACAGGCACCGACCATTGCTCTCGAATTCTTTCTGGCAAACGCGTAGGAGTGAGGGGCAAAAACTGCAGCATATGGTCTTGCATCATCCCAAAGTACTCTGTAAGCTTTCAGTTTTGAGCGACATCCTCCACACGCCTCTGAACCGAAAGAGAGTACTGAGCAACAATCTCTTACGAAGGGATAGTAGGCTACAACTGCTCATTATTTATTGCGCCGATTGGAAATTTGTTAAGCTCGAAGACGCAGCAATAAGGCAGCAAGTGCGCGAGCTGCGTGTCCCACACTGTCGCAATGCAGGCGACTCCCTTCAAGAAGCGAACAACGCTTATTCCGATTACATGCAATCCTAATTACCTAGCCCCTCTTTGGAAGACAGAGTGGCGAATTAAGAGGGCGCATTTCCTGTATGTGCAGACGCTTTGACGGCTCAAATTCCTGCAAAGTCAAGTGACACGAAATTCAGTAAAGGCAAGACGGTGAGTTGCTCCTGCCGAAGAACCAATGGAATTGCATTATTTCTACTGCAAAACCTCTGTGTGGAGAACTTCACATATGGAATTTATGATTTTAGGGATTACAGTAGAGCCATCAGGGCTCGCTTGGCTCCAGTGGAGGCGTTTGCTCGTGATGCAACTCCTATCAGGTGGCAAAGTCAATGCACACTGACGGAAACATGTACAGAAACTGCGCCAGTCTCTTCCAACCTTGTTATAAAACACTTGCGAATAACCCAAAGCCCTTTTTAGGCTTTAAATTATCACGAAGTATACGCACGCAGCGATCAGAGGAGCATGACTAAAGCTTAAGAAGTCTCGAATGACATTGAGAATCGGGTCCTACAAAAACAACCGCAGCAGTGCCAAAGTTAGCTTCCGTGCATGTTCTATCCAAAACGTTGCTCTACCCGAAGTAAGTCACAAGGTGGAAATAAGGAATGGCCCTCTCTGCTCTCTTCCCTGCAGGACTACAACCAAACAGGTTATGAACTGCTATCTAACCTACGCCCTTACTCCAGGGCAGCAGCTTTCCCCACTCTGTAATTGCGCAGTAAGACAAAACAGGTCTACCACCACAAATATGCCTCTATTTGCCTTAGTTCCCAACACAAAATGATAAGGATACACAGCAGCTGAACATGTAGCTGGCATGTTCAGGCTGAGGGCAGTCAAGTATCTTCCTGTAGGATAATAACGCAGAATTACTTTGGCTCCTCAAACCAAAATAATCAAAACTTCGAATCGACGAACGTGGGGTATGAATTGTGCGAGCTTCCCCTGGAGCCAGAAATGGAGCACATCAAGCGCTCTTTGAGAAACCGGGCCAAGTCACTCAGGGAGGAAGAAACAGTTATAGGGAAGCAACTTCGCCGTAGTTTTTCAAAGAATATCAGTCTGCTTGCCCAAATTACTTTCAAGCAATTGAGGCCTTAGGCCACTTTCGGGCAATGCCACCCCCGAGAACAATAAAATAGCACTAGAGGCCAGGGAGTGCTTGCTAGAAAGCGTGCTGCTCTATCTCCATAAGCTCTAAATCTACCTAGACGGCAGTATAGTGGAAAACAAGAATTGATGACAGAAAAACACTGCGCATTTTCTCACTCGCATTGCGGCCACGACTACGCCAAAGAGGGCCAACAATTTCATGAATAAAGGAATCCACTACGAGTCCGAGCTGGCCTTGTTTTCTCAACTAAGATTGACCAGAAACTACTTTCAAGGAACTAGTGAATGGGGCAATGATACGGTTAAGTTAACCACCAGAGAGTGCAGAAATCCGGCGGGCTAATCCCTCAAGGCAAGGGCCTCTACTGCTGTCAGAGCATCGACGCTACGCTCTGAGGAGAAATAATGCTCAATTACTGCACTGAAATGTGTCACAGGCGGAAGTGGCTGCTTTCCCTGTTAAGGCAGATGCTTTCGAGTGCGGCTCAGCACCTCATCGCGTTGTCTCTTATACGGCCCCAAACCACCTATCATTTGTCGCATTGGACGTCGCATTCAATACAACCGGAACGGTGGTCACGGAAGGATTATCTTTCCATATAAAATAGAACAAGTTTCCATCAAAACTTGTTCTAATTTTCAGTAACCAGCAGTGTTACATCTACTGGCGTGCACGGCCCGCTGGAGAAATCTGGGAAATCTGTTAGGGCCTAGTATCACGGAAAAAAAGCATCAAAAATTTCCTACAGAGGCATCCATTCCACAGTGATGGATTGGTAGAATAACAGAACCTTCAGAAGCTCTACACGCGCACGACACACGGCCCCCGCTAGTTGGTTCCCCATAAGTTGTGGGCTGAATAGCGCGATATATTGTTTGAATGCAATCGGCGTCTGGTCGCTTGATACTGGCGTCAAAAATGCCATTAGGGCTCGACAAATTCTGCAAACGCAACCCCTATTCCGCCGTATGCGTTTGAGACACGAACTACGCTCGATATAGCGCAAGCCCGTCATTAGTCGTTTGCACATTCACAGAGACTAAGCGAATTGGTTTAATAAGGCTGATATAGAAAAAATGCTGAATACAGATGTTTTTCTTTCACGGCTGATGCCGCGATAGCCCGTGGACGCTGCACCACGGGGCTTCCAGCGACGTTGTAAACTGACCAACAACGCGTTTAGGAGCAAAGGATGTTTCAGCTTCTTTTTTTACAAGACTGAGGCCGAGCTTCATTCTGATTGCTTCCAGTGAGGAGCACTGAGACACGTTGGGCTAGGGTGGAACGCAGTTGTCTGCGGGATGGACAACGTGGCGATAGTCCACCCCGTAGCTTCTCAGCTTTGCTGCGGAGCCCCATTCGCATGATGTTGACACAGCGAATCGCTGAGCTATCTCGAATGCCTTAAGACACCGCTCAGACGCTCGAGGCCGTCACCGGAGTGTACAAGCCCGGCGCAGTTGATTATCGTGTTTCCATCGTTTTACCCCAGCGAGCCGCATGGTAGTGCCCAGCCGGGTCACTTCCTGTTTGGCTAAGGGACTGAGCGGCGTTGCTTGGCATCGACACCACGCACTAAAAGCAATACGCGGAGAACATGGAGGTGGAGTCGGATGGTGTGTGCGCTGAGGGCTGTGAGCTCGATGAGTTCATTTACGATGACGATGAACTCATGGAGAGCGCAATTGCTTCTCCTCAGTCAAAGGTATGCAGAATTCATGAGTCTTTAACAGGCTAGACCACTCACTCATTGCAGACTGCTTCGTTATGTGCACATGGCCGTGGTAGAGCAACAATGTACGTATATTGAGGAATCTACCACTATTTTCAGGGCTTGATCCCTCGATATCATTCACCGGAGTCGCTGGACCGACGAATCGATGAACTCATTCGCGAGACCGCAGCACTCATGGGTTTGAACGAAGCGTTCGTGGGGTGAGCTTCCTGGAGTGCAGGGCTATGGAGAATGGTTTGCGCAGATTAAATCGCGCTTCTCCCTTCTCCATAGACTCGATCTTTGTTTGCATTTTTTGGCCTTGAGCTTTGACGTGATTTGCTGCTTGCAGAATTTTGTTGCGCAAGTTCGACTGGAGAAGCGATGCCTTGATTCAGGAATGGTTCAACGACAGCGCTGCAGTCTTGCGGAAGGTAGGCTTCATACATCGACTCAAGTGTGACTGTAAGTTGAGGCGTAAGCTGTAAGGTGACAGGGCTTGTGTGGGAGGAGCGGAGAGCTCGTTCCTGGGAAGTGACTGTATGCTGGACATAACGTTTGTGTCACATCCTCTTGTCTCTTTCTCCACTTTTTTCCAGTTGTGCAGCAGGATGATGTGTGGATGTGTTGGATTTTGCAGGGCAGACTTCCACCGGTCGTTCTCGAGCAGGACAGGGAAGACGCACCTGGTGCGGCGGAGTGTGAATCTGCCCCAGCGGAGCCCGAAGCATCGGACAGCTCGCTGAAGACGCCTTGCACTTCCGTGGACGTTTCAAAGAAGGAGGAGGCTGGTGACATGTTTGAATGCCCCGTCACTGCATGTGTCGTCCCGCTGACTGAAACGTTTGCCCTCAAATGCAGCCATCGATACTCGAATGCGTGAGCATTGGAAAAACCGATACCTTGGCCGTGCACATGTGTAAACAACCAGTCCTTAAGTGAAACCTGTGACGAACGAAACGTTTTGAGTTGCTGCGGTGAGCTGCGTGTAATGCTGCAGCGCGTGGATAGGCTATTTAGACGCCTTGGTCACAGAAGGCCCGCAACGCGCCCTGGATGCTCGGTGAGCAGAATGGGAATCGGTCAGGCAATTTTTCGGGGCTGATTTCCTTTCAGAGGATTCGCGTGCGGAGCAAATGAGCACTGAAAATCGTTTTAAACGTTAACATTTTTGGTTGGCTTTCCGTCAAGTTGTAGATGCCCCCGCTGCACGCGACCACTTTTGTCTCGAAGTCGGTTCACAAGGACTCATACACCGCTTGTGCCACAAACTAGAAATGTATTTTTCGCGCGTGTGCGTTTGCGCGGAGAGCGAGAATCATCGAGCTGTTGTAATCTGCTGGGACTTTCCAGGATTCGAGAGTAGCTAACCGTTCAGATGACCAGCTAATGTATCACGTGTTCCATAAATTATGCAGGTCGCAAATAGGTTTTGCCACGGTGCATAGAAGTGCTTGTGTTCGTTGCTATGTAGGTGCCCTTTTCCTGGTTGCTTGGAGCTTGTAACAATGGATGTGTGGAACCGATTTCGGGGCCCGTCAGCGGTCGCTCGATTGCGCATGTTCGCTCGTGAGCAGTTTGTTGGGAAGCATCTCGCTGTGGCGTGGTGTCCATCTCCAATGTGCCAGCAAGCGGTGGAGCTCGTTCCAGCAGGAGTAAGCTGCTCGGATAGTGACTCCTTCTGCAACTTCTCAGCAGCCGAAGTGGCACTCGTCGCAGATGTAACCTGTAGCTGCGGCGCTCGATTCTGCGTAATGTGTGGGGAAGAGCCACACCGTCCGATTTCTTGTCGCGTCATCGCAGCATGGAGGCGGAAGAACGTGCGAGAGGCTGATAGCGTGACATGGATATCTTGCAATACACAGCCATGTCCCAAGTGCCGCCGTCCCATCCAAAAAGATAAGGGATGTATGCACATGCGGTGCTACTGCCAGCACGAATTCTGCTGGCTCTGTCTTGGCGACTGGAAGCAGCATTCGACCCGGAGTTTTTACCGCTGCAATGTGTATGAGCAACGCGGTGGGGAAGCTAAGGAGGGCAGCGGCAGTGGGGACGCGCAACACTCGCTTGAGCGGTATGCGCATTTTTTTGAACGATACAGAGCACACAACCATGGGCAACAAGTGGCTGCGCGCATGCAGTTAAGCCAACTAAAAAGGTGTCGGGAAGTAGCTGCCGCTGCCGCAGGGCTATCCCCAACATGTGCTGCAGTGCAGCCAGCAGCAGATAGCAAGGGGGACAAAGCACCCCATAGCTGTGCATCGGAAAGCAGCAGCCCGAGCAGGCCAGGGGAGCGAGGTGGCATGACAAAGTCTCGCAACAGAGACGCCAGATATTCGTTAGGGTTTGGAGAAGATTTCGATTGGGACTTCTTGGAGAAGGGGTGGCTGCAGGTAGTCGAGTGTCGGCGAATGCTGAAGTGGTCGTACGCATTTGCGTTTTTTGCTGAATTTCCAGAGAGTCGACAGAAACACCTCTTTGAGTTCCATCAAGGGCAACTCGAACGTAGCCTCGATTTGCTGCAGGAAAAGCTAGAAACCTTTGAGCCCAAGGCGTATGTTGACAGGGATCCTGCCGATCTCATCACATTCAAGATGCAGTTGCTCGACCTAACTGCAATCGTCCGAGGATTCTTCGCAAAAATTTGCGATGTTTTCGAAGACGAATTTGTGGCACACGCAGTGCACGTCAACGAGAGAGAAACAGGCTGAGGCAAAAAGCAACAGCCCACGGCGTTAAAGACAGGGCTGCAGCGGTGATGCCCCTTTTTCTAGGACGGAAAGTAGCTGCATGGACTTCCGTCAGTTTGTCGCTGCATCAGCCAATCAAATGGCGGATTGAAGCTGTATAGTGTTGTGTCACTGTTGAACCATCGTGCTGGAGTTTTGGTAGCTGCAGGTTTCCCATTCTAGTGAGTGCCAACCAAGTTGTGCATTTTGCTCCCTCGTACGCATCAAGTAGTGGGACACTTTAGCCAAAGGTGTGGGATGCTTTAGCGAAAGGTGTAAAAAAAGCAAGAGCGCAGAGCTCTGCTAGACGAATCAGCGTTAATTCTCGGTCCAAGGTAGCCTCTCTGAGAGCGTTTTGGAGGAGCACGGAGGGTACTTTACTGCCAACTGCACAACACTTTCTTGCATCAAAATGAGCAACGCGCCACTTGTACTCGCTTGAAGAGAAGAACTAACGCCCAGGAGTCGCGGGAGCAAGGATTTTCTCCTCAAGTGATTCGCCGGCTCGCGAGGGTTAATATCGGAGTGCAGCCTGTAAGTTTGGGGATTGAGTGGCAGGCGCAACTCATGCGCAAATGCTAGTTTCGCCATCGCAGCTCGCAGGCTTGCTTTGAATGCTTTGAAGCAATCTTTCAATCCATTGCCACCTGTGGCGAGCAATGCTAACCGAATAGCATGCACGGGGTTTTTGGACACCTGCGCCGCTTCTAGCACCAACGACCAGAATGATCCTAGACCACTAGTCCCAGAGTTTCATACCCAAAAGTCCGTTTTTTATGGAAACTTGCACACTTTACTGACGTCAGAAGAAGCGAATTGCCCCTTTGGAAGAGTGTCCAATCATTGGAGTACTGTGGACGAGCACGATAAGTCTGCCTGAGCCTGCATTAGATGAGGGCACAAACAGAGAAGGCAACACAGGGTGAAACATCCTTCATTAGCGTAGCTCTGCAGATATAGGGGGACGAAACGCAGCTGTCTTAATTGCCTCGTACTCGAGCTGTGCCAGAGACCCCCATATGTAGTTCGCAGAGAGCATCTCTGCAAGTGCTGGCACCAGCCTGGCGAGCCGGACCGAGCTGAAGATAACCGAGGGACGGGGTCCGAGGCTGACTCACACTCAAGCAAGGGACAGTAGATGTGGTGTTCTGGTGCTGCGGACATCACAGCCAGCCTGTTAGCGAACAGCGGCTTGGGACTCAAGCATCCGCAAGTCTGGGGATCTAATGGACCAGCATGCTCAACCGATCCACGACCCGCAGGACAGCATCGCTTCCCTTTTCAGAAGGTTGCATCCTGTTTGTAAGTTGACCAGATGGTGACTTGTGCAGACGCTTTATGTCCGTCTGCATCGTAGAGTCCGGCCTTTTCTCCTTGGCTCTTGGTCGAGGTACCAGCTCCGCAACTCCACTGAGAGGAGTTGCGGAGCTGGTACCTCGACCATGCAGGTGTTCTGGAGACTCAACAGGTGCGATCAGGTCGCTTATAGGACCGCCTGGAAAGCGCCTGGGAACAAACAAGAATGAAAATTCTCCTCGCGTTTGCCAAGTGTTAACGCCTTCACGGCATGTTGCCCGTTCCCTGTGCCAGGCACAGTGCGATTGAGGAGGGCCTGTGCGCCTGCTCACAATCAGGCAGTCCGTTGCCACAAACTCTTATTTTCTCTTCATGAATGACATGGCAACCGACACCAGACTCAGTGATACGTGAGAAGAGTATTTTTGAGGCGACAACAATTTGGCTACAGAGGGCCGCACCCAGCTGCTTCCCTGAGGCGGAGGATCTATAGTCAAGGATGTCGAGTATCCTCCTGCTTGTATAACAAGTAACGGTACCACTAAATAAGTAAGACATGCAGGCACTCACAGTGAGTATTCGTGGGTAGTCAATGGTATTCACAGTTGTGCGCGCTCTGGGGAAGAGCGGGCAATTGTATAAGTACAGTCAGATTGGCAGTGGGGGTTACGGGCATCAAGGCACAGCACGATGGCTGCCCAAGTGGTTGCAGATTATCGCCATAATACTTTCTGAATGCAAGCTAGATGAAAGCGGGCTCGTCTACGTGAAGACACACTGAGTAAGTAGCTGTGGAGAACACTTAGTATGGGCCAGTGGAGTTGTGCGCTCCGGCGTGCCATTCTTCCGCTTGAAACCTAATATTTACGGCATTACTTCGGCGAAAAACGCTACAAAAGTAGTTATCTGAATTAATTTGGGGAAAACAGAAGCACAGGGAGCAGTGAATGCAGGCCGCTCTTCGAGTCGTCAGCAGTCGGGGGCCACTGAACTGGACTGGAACAGCACTGGAATAGAATTTCCGAGGCGCAGCAAGGCGATTTGATCAGGAATAACCCTCAGAGGCTGTAAATTCTGAATGAAGAAAATATATAGGGTCTTTAGTGGATCAGGCGTAGGCCGCAGTGCAATGAGGCCAGCGTCTGCGGCTAGCATTGTCAGTCGGTGCTTCCAGCCAAACGCACATTGGGAGACAGAGAACAAACTTCCTGTTCAAAAGAACAAGGCTTAAGAAGAAAGAAAGTTAATGCCTTTTAATGTAGAGCTCGGTTCCACAACTGCTTGCACGAGCAAAGCAAGAAAACTTTGTAAGAGCAGAGCCGGATGGGCGTAGCTCACTTCAATTAGGGAGCATTCCAGATTTTACCTTTATTTTGACTTAGTAGCGCTAGAAAACTGTTAACTAGCCTAACTGAACCCTGGGATTTCTATCATTGCACGCATCAAAGCCCTGTAGTTACTGACGTGCGCAAGGAGTGGGAGATGCATGTGCAAGATCCAGGATATCTGCTGCACGCTTGGCCTGCCCAGAAGGGCCGATGGCAATTCCTGCCGCCACAATACCAGACCACTTAAACACCAGAACGCTAACACGAGCACATTTCCACAGCAGAGCCTTTTCAAGAGGCAGGCGGTCGAACCCGCAGCGCAAATGGAACCGAACAGAGGACGCAGCGCAGCTGGGGCAGGCGATGGGGCGCATATGGCGCATCTTGGTTCAAATGAATTCGGCAAGAGAGCCGCTAAGTGTCTTGCAGTCATTGATTCATGAGCAGCAATACAGTGGGGATCTTCCTTAGTTCAGAAGAGACAAGATGTACGAAACTAAGCGATGGCCAGCTCTATTGGAGCGACGACTTCAAGAGGTGTAAAGCAAAAAGTGTTCTGGCGCACTGATTTTTTAAAAGGAGAACGGGATCGGACTTAAAGGGGGCTCTGCTCCTTGCACTTCCAGCCGTTTGACATTATCCGCCAAATCGCAGCTAACCAGTGAAAAAGCGATCGCCAGGTGCACTCATCTCACTTTGAGAGGGCAGAAGCACAAGGGTTGGGCCACGCCAGAAGCAGATTTACCGCATTTTTCCTTGGCCAACTTACCACACGACCTGCACCATAATAAAGGCTAGTGTCGTTAATCTCAAGGACTCAACAGAAGTTACGGATGAACCAGCGGTCTTGTGACTTTGCTTATTTTGGAAGATAGAGTCAAACAAGCAGTGACAGTTTACTTAAAGCCACAGTATGATATTAGACGCGTATGCGGAGACGGATGCAGAATACGGTACCTGTCACTAGCCGTAGCAGCCCCCCGATATTCTGATGCTCCTAGGGGGAATCTCGCTCACTACAGGCTTGCAAAATGCATTAATAAAGAAGCGGAATTCATTTGCAAATGACGTACATGAAAGGGCGGATTTCACTAGCCTGGAAAATCTGCAAAACTATTCAAATTTTTGTCTACTACTGGAGAAAGGCTTTTGTGGCAACGGAATGATTGCGGTCGGTCCGTTGATTTTCGCTGAGAAAATGAGGGCATCGTGAAAGTGTCCAACCAGAATATCAGCAGGTGAGGCTGGAAGGCTGTCTAGCATGAAGGGAGGGCTGTTCAAGGCTACGTGGCCTACTTTTGGACACGGGCGCGCTGGACCAGCGCTGTGGGGGCCTCCGTGTTGGAGAAAATTGTGTAGACTGAGACGCCTCCATTATTCTGGTGTAAGCGTATCTTGATAGATGCTCCGGCCCGCTCGCCCAGTTATTCCGATTTTTTCGGTCGTGGGACGAACGGCCAAGTAGCCGAAAGTAGGCGATCAGCAAAATTTATCAAGTCGCCTATATATGGCTTTCGTATGCACCTCTTGGAATATGCCTTTTGCTTTCTTCTGACAAGACAAAGCCGCCTAGCAGAAGGAGAGACGAACGTGCGCAGAAGGAAATCAAGTAGTGCCCCGGCACTCGATTCATGCACGTCAAATCACCCCCACATATCATATTTTTGAAATGCCCAAAGAAAAGGCCCATTCTACTCTTGCACACTCTAGCCCAATGTTTGATTATGAGTTGAGATCATAACCCACTCTAGTGGGCAGCTAAAGCTAGTTGCCAAAGTTTCTCGGGTTGGCGATTGCACTGCAACAACTCCAGTAAAGGCTGCCAATTGAATTTAGAAAGATGCAGGTTCATCAGGTAAGAAAGTCACTTTCGTTTGTAGTCTGCAGAGCGCAGTTGCCCTTGCTCTCCTACAGCTATTCAAGCATCGCATTCCACGGGTGCCTCGCCAATACAAAACAACCGTTAGGGTATCAAAATAAATCAGCTGCTTCCAAATGGTACGAAATCAGTATTGTGGATGTATATACATAAGACAGCGTTGATGGATGATGTAATTGTGGATTACACACTTCTCAGATCAGCCCAAGGGCGGGACCCGTGCTGAACCGTGGCAGGTTTGCTCAGTTCTTTTGGAGACCCCAACATTAGAGTCGTGCTGTATGAAACTAACTTGAGAGCACCTGGCATAGTACGTTGAAAATCCTGTTTCAGTTATGCATCTGCACCTTCATTTCCACCTGGGTCGTGATTGGCTTCGTAGGACCGGCTATATGCGGCAGTCTAAACGGCCCTTCACTTTCATAACAATGACATGAACTGCCTGAAAAGAAAAACTAACGGAGCGAAGTGGTGTGCAACTCCGTCAAAGAACCGTTACATCTGGAGCTGTAAAATCTGGAATACACGCAAACCACGAACTCGGCCCGAATGCCTAAATCAGGATGCACTAGGAGCAAAAGAGACGTAGAAGCGGTTTCCTTTTAAAATAATGAGTCATAGAGATGAAGTTCTATACTGATATTTGCCGTTTGTAGCACCGCACTTCAGAAGGTAACGCACACACACCGTGCGGCAGTGCAAAACAACATTGAAAAATGTGTTTAAATCCTGCAGATTCGCTGATTATATAGCTTGAATAATGCTTAAAGGCTAATTTAAGGTTTTGCATGTGATGGCGGTCCCTCCTGAAAAACAGAACACATTCGGTCTGTTGCTGGAGTGTCGGCTGCTCCGGCCGGTGTGAAAGTGGAGCCTAGGGGTAAGAGAGGCCCTTAATCTCCTCTCCCAGCTCGCTCACCCTATACTGCAATAAGCGCTTGCCAAGGACTGAACAAATTCATTTCCAGTTGAGCCAAACCCAGGTAAAATGAGTTTGATATTGGCACTCCCTCCTCGCTCACGCCTTCAGCGGTTGCCCGTGGTCGCGTGAGGCGGAATTGGTGGGACAAGCTAGTGCCCATCTAAGTTTGTTTCTCTTCTCTCGATCACACTTTCTGCCGCAGTGAGTGGCAGTAGAGTCCTCCAAAAAGTGGTCGTCTCTCCGCATAAACGCGGAAGTCAACCCAGATTGAGATAACTGTACCCTTGTAGAGGAGCAGCTTGTGGGGTTTGCTGTGCCCTGCAGCCAAACTTTCGTTTGCCCGCGAGTCTCCAATACAGCAACTGTTGTCTGAAAGGTCCTCCCAGAAAGTCGCCGTCTCCTTGCCCGCGGGGACGCCATGAAATCCCATTTCGACTCTGGGCAGTCCACGAGGTTTACCATAGCAGACTGAACAGGTAGAGATGGCGAACGAAAAACAGGAGCAGCAGCAGCAAGAGGCACTGCCTCTTCTCGAGGGCGCAGATGCAAATGCATGTGTCGTCGAGCTACCGGTTGATGGCGGGCGCTGCCTTTTGTGCACCGTCCGAAGGCACCCTGAGAGCTCAGGTTCTGACAGGGAGGTGGCACAGGTTCTCTTTTCCTTTAAGGAGCCTTTTTTTGGACCACACGAGGCATCTAAGAAGCTCTTACTGCACTGGTAAGGCTGAGGCTGCACGAGACCTAGCCGGCACATCATTGGCATAGCCCTTTTCCGTGCTCATTGAGCTAACCGCGTAACTTTTTGCGACGAATAGCAAAGCGATTCGTACAGGTGCTGTACTGCCCTGCTGCTCGCGGAGTAGTTAATCGATTTTTGGCTAGTAAACTGATGCTGCTTGTTTAGTTAAAGTCATCCCAGCCCGACAGAGCATGATTTTTGCATGCCCGTTACGTCAACTCACTCGAGTTTTGGTGCTTGTGGCGCTGCAGGGGTGTAGCCAGGAACCCAGGGGAGTGGCTACCGCCCGAAGGCGAGTTCAGGGAACAGCTGCGGAGTAATGGCTCGCCGGTACAGTTTGGCGAGACGGCGACCGATATCCCCTTTCCGTCTCCCAACTCCTCTCCGCCGCCGGTTCTGGACTTGAGTTTCCCTGTAGATGCAGCCCCCGAGTACTTGGTTTTTGTACTTCACTCCCCTCCCCATGAGTGGTTCAAGCAGACGACTCCGGGCCGGCCGTCTACGAACTTCATGCTTCATCTGAAACAGGCACTTAAGCAGATGGTGTCTAGAACTGCCTTCCTAAAGGCCATTGATGCATACAAGAAGTCACAGCCACTTCAGCACATCAAGCCGTCCACCGCACAGTGAGTGCGCCAGCTAGACACGAGCACATACGTAAATTCCGATTTTTCGGTGCTTCTTTTTTGGACCATCTTCTTGGCGCCCTCCATACACCTCACGAACTGTATCCTTAGGAGCAGGCAAACTCTGCAATTTTTGTGTCACCTTGTCGGGGCAGCACATGGAAAACAACACCAGCATACCAAGGAGTCCCATTGTTTTCCTCGCTCCGGGAACCTTTCTGCTTGGCGTTAGCTGGTTTTAGAAGGCTCCACACAAGGGAGAACTGTGTACATAACCTTGATTGGTTTGTGTGGCGTTCCATGAATCTTATCTGTTCGTATTTCGGTATGTGCACATGGCAAATGGGATCCATTCACAACCAAATCTGGATATACGCATATGGCGTTCCTGCCTAAGTTCTGTGTTTTTCCGGGGTAGGTTCGCTGAGCTACCCTCTACAAACGCATTTTTGCATCTATTTCCTCAATCTAATTGCGCCATCTGGTGCGCGCAGCTACTGGCGAATTCCAGTCAACGACGGCGACATGCAGCTTCTGGCATTGACATTCGTTAGCAAGGATGCCTGCGGCTTGGAAATCTTCTGCAACTGGCCGGCTGCTCTTTTGCTGCACTGGGGAACAGCAGAGACTCAAACAAGTCCATGGAAACGCATGGAACTGAACAAGATGCTCATGCACGTTGACAGTAATCGGCAGCAAGAAGATGAGCGGCAGCACGGACTGAAAGCTGAAGCCACGAAAATTGCGGATGGGACAGACCGAAGCCGACCTGGGAAGGAAAGAAACTTGGATGAACAGCAGTACTCCAAGGACTCTCCAGAAGAGCAGTGCCACCTTGAGACGCTCTACGGAACTTTTGCGCACTATCCAATCGACAACAAAGCGGCACAAACCCTGTTTGAGGTATATTAAAGCGTGAAGTTGCTTCTGCCTATACGTAGCCATAGAGTCCCGCTCATGTGCACATGCTATGCAAGCGAAGTTACTTTGTGCCTTTGCGATTTAAGTCTCCTAACGAGATTTTTCGCGTTACACTGCCTTCATACACACAGATTTTGTAGTGATGTATATTATGTGCATTCGTGATTGTGGCTAAGCTCGGTAATACCTGCGCCGCTTATGCGCAAATAAAAGTTGATTTTTCTAGTGAGCAGCTGTGCGCAGGGACGCTTACCATTATATGCTGCATTTAAAGCCTCACTTGCATGTATGTATTCGCCTGCACATAAGCACAAAATCTTGCGTATTTGTCTACGTGCATATGCGCACTGTGGCTGCATATACACGTCCAGATGCATGGTTTCATACAGCACACTGGCATATTCAATTCATCCCCAGACAAGTAACAGTATACACACGCAAGGGCACGAAAAGGCTGTAGAAATGGTAATGTGAATCTCCTTTTTCTGCATTTCTGTGTGTCGTTCCGAGGCCCGCAACTGCGTGGCGCCGAAACTATTTTTTGACGACCGCCTTTGCTGTGCTTCTTCACTTACTTCTGCGCTTTGTTCAGTTCTGCGAGACATCTAGGAGCGTGGGTTTCCAGCACGTTGCTCTATGTTTCAGAGGAGATGCCGTGCCGTGCGGAGTGTCGTTTGTGTTGAAAGAGGTAATGGCTGACAGGTGGTTCGCCGACCGCACAGGAGACTTTTTCGTAAAGCTCCCTACGCATCGTTATTGGGAAACCCTAAGGGAAAAATACAGAAAGATTGCAGAGTTGAGAGCTGCGGAGGAGGAGAAAGAGAGAGAAGAAAGAAAGAAGAAGTGGAATGATGCTCAACAAGCATTCAACAAGTTCGCGCAGGAACAGTAAGTCTCCCTTACGAAGTAGATTCAGGTAAAAATACGAAAAAGGCAGATATATAGACAGCGCAGGAGTAAATTCGGGCCTTTTAGTGCGCCTCGCTTGCCGTGATAAACTTGCTCCCCTACAGTTATTCTTGTGGGTAAATGAAGGAAATAGGTCTTATCGCAGTGTGAACTGCCTCGTCTCAAAAAACGGTATGCTTTCCCGTAATGGCACTCATGCACTTTTCTGACCCTGCGAGCCACCTTTTCTCATAGTGCTAGAACAGTGCGTCTAACATTTTCAGGGACGCGACAACTGCTCTGTCGTTGCGTCGCGTGCCTCTCTCGGAGGGAATTGGGGAGCTTTTGGTCAAGACTGAGGCAGACCCTTCAAAGCACAGCGTTCTGATTTCCCTCACAGCTTGTCTGCAAACACCTTGTGTACTGAGGTGGGGCATGGTTGACATCATGGGAAGAAGACAGACGGAGCTGCAGCGGAAGGGGGAGGGTGCGAGCGCACCTTCCGTACAGACAGCGAAAGGTGGAAGATACCAGTGGATATGTCCTCCGCCTGAGGTCAGACCTCCTCACACAGTTGTGGCAGACCCTCAACGGTAAGCCCACATCAAGAGGAGGCGTTCCATTTAGTGCAGGGCAACCGCAGTAGGGTGCATTCTAAGTTCTCCGTAGCTCTCTGCGTCCGTTTGTCCTTTCCAATCTCGCCATGAGAAATCACGAAAATACTTGAAGGTTTTTCCTCGTTGTCGATCTGTCTTCAACCGCTTGGTGGGCGCAGCGCTTGTGAAACTCCCTTCGAAGACTCTGCTGACGGCCTCTTACAGCATCTAGAGATCCATGTCCCAGCAACGAAAACTCCCCCTCTCTTTGAAGGAGACCCTGGCATTGAACCTCTGTTTGACGGCTTCGCCTGTTGCCTCAGAGAAAGAAATGCTGACAGATGGTACAAAGCTATTGACAACCGAGACATACAGGTACGCATCATTTAAGTGAAAAAGTACACCTTTATTATTTTGGTTATGTGCAGCCTCTTTCAGCCCCCGTTATGAGCTGGGTTTTTCTCCTATCGCTCGCATCATGACTCTCGTGGGCTCGTGAATACTATGACGTGGGGAGGAAACACTAGTGCCAGCGTTGTTAAATTAGTCTGTTCTGCCGTTGCAGGTACGCTTGCTGGATGTCGAGAACGTGCCAGTGAAGGGTGAAAATCGCGAGTACCTAGACAAGATTGTGGAGGCTGAGGTGGAGTGGCAGCACATGACATTGATGCACCGCTACAACTTGATGCGCGAGTTCTATGAATCCTTTGCGAAGCGCTCCGAGGCAAGGCTTATCTCATCTCCAGATTATGGCACACGAGCGCAAAGGGTTGCGGAGCTTGTGCGGACCTGGTCCCATAGACAGTGGGAGGGGGATGAGGCGCCGTTGCCTGAAGGCTTTGGTGCCCCGATGGGGAAGGCTCGTGCCGCTCACGATGCTGTAGCATATGAGGATCTAGCTACGGCTGAGGCAGCTGAAGAGACGGAGTTCTGGGAGCTAATGTTCACGTGGGCTCGATTTGCATTTTTGGGGTTGCTGGACTGGCAAAGAAACTACAACACAAAGCCCCGAGAGCTAGCCCATGCATGCGAATCGCTGACATTCTATGCCGCTAGACTCTGGCGCAGCTACCCGTCTCACCGCCACTTGATTCGAGGGTGTCTCAGCACTATGGGAAGAGGTGGCTCGCAGGGTCAGGCAATAAGAGACAGAATTCTAGAGATCATGCATAAGCACCATATACCGGAACATGGCTCATTTTACGAGCAGTGGCATCAGAAGCTCCATAACAACACCACTCCAGACGACATCGGCATATGCAGAGTAGGACTCAGACTGCCCCCTGACCCCTGTATCTCTATTCAGAAGAGTCGTAGCTAAACGCCCCAACATCTTCAAGCTCCTACGTTTCTGCGGCAGCAACAGACGATATGGCAGAAAAGTAGATAAAATTTTTGAACGTGCCTAGCTCTGCAGCTTCGCAGTCTTTGTTCATGTAAGGATGCTGGCAAAATTCGCATCTTCCTGACTGCTCCTAATTGCCTTCTCACTGTTTTTTCTGCTTCACCATCAGGCAGTAATCGCTTATCTCGAGAGCCGCGGGGACATTTCTTCGTTTTGGCGTGTGCTGGGTGACCACGGCATTACCAGAGAGCGGCTAGCGAGCTATGAAAGAAAGATTACAATGGAGCCTCACATGGTGCACACGGATATAAACGAGCTTATCAACGACTTTAAGTCTTACCTCAGCGTGATACAGGATGTTCACGATGCTAGAGATGCGCGGGTGAGCTGCGTGTTTGCATTATTCCGTAGGGTGCCTCTCCATCTGCAATCAGAGCAATTTCAGCAACATACAGCGCTGACACAGCTGCGCGTCATTTTAGATGCTACGACTAACGTACCGTATTGGTTTCGGTGCGCGGGCTATCTGTTGCGGGGGCATTCAGAAAGCATTCGACTACGCGCGGGCCCACCTTGCTGGAGATACTGCCCACATGGTAGAAGCAGTGTTGGGGGAGATGGGACAACGGACAGATGGTATGGGGTCCGGGGAGCTCCACAGTCGGTTTGTGCGTTTATCGGAAGTTCGTCGGCGCATATGTTTCCAGCTCAACGAAAATGGTGGCCTTAACACTTCTGATGATTCCAAGATCGCTGGTACGAGAGAGCTACTGATGCTTGACTTCGTCCTGGAGCAACAGCAGGGATTGCTGTTGCAAGCTACGGCCTCTTTTGATGCTCAGCAGCTTGCGACACATCTGCGAGAACTCCTACTCTGTCTTTCTGCGCACGATCCATTCAATGTTGAGCTGACGTGAGCCGTTTTTTCTTGGAGTACCCATGTTGCAGCTAGAGTTCATGCATGCGTAGGACCAGTGTAATAGCCACTGCTCCCGCTTTTGTGTGCCACGCTTTTCCTTGTTTAACCCTCACCCTCAAAGGCTGCAGGTGAATACAGGTGTTCCGCTGTAGTGCTTCCTGCATTTGTGGAGGCAAAAACATCATCTCTATTTGTTCCAGCTTGTCACTGATGAAATGACGTGCAGTGAACTAACACAATGTGAACTGGACAAGATTCTGCTTTCTCAGGAACCTGTGCGCCGATTGGCAGCATTTATCTGGAGACCTCGCATCTAGTTGCGCCTGTGGAGACAGCTCCAGAAACGAATGCCGCGAGGCAGCGCTTCTCTTGAAGGCCCTTGTAGACCGACTTTCTCGATTCGTAGGTAAACAAGTGGACTCCGTGCAAGAGGGCCTTGGGCCAAAAGCGCAGTATTTGGGAGCCCAAGTGGGGACCGACAAGAAGGTGCTTGACTTTTTCGTGGACGAGGTGCTTCGGGGCTCCTCGCTGCTCAGCATTTCATTTTCCATCAAGCGACTGGAGCCACTGCTAAGAAAAGCCGCGAGCCTACCAGCGTGGCAGCTCATCTCGGTTGTTGAGCGGGTCAGGGGTGATTTTGTTACTATTAACGAGCTCGCGGGCATTCAGGTCCGTAAGTTTGCTGGAGAAACTTATCCTTTTGTCGATTACCTTGTCGTATGTCTCGGCCTGCTGCGTACGTGCGGTTATAAATAGCAGAGCTGGATGCCGGTAATGATATCTCTGCAATCGCCGTCGGTTTTTTGGAGTCGATGGGGGCTGCTTCCTGTTGTGGGATTTCCTACTGTGTCTTCCTGTTCTCAGGATAAGGTATTCGATTCGCCAACAATCTTGCTCTGCAATGCTGTAAGCGGCGAGGAGGAGATTCCCGAAGGCGTACAAGCTGTTCTTGTTCGTTCTGCGGCTGTTTCACCGGACATACTCAGTCATGTGTCTGTCCGTGCGAGAAATGCCCATGTGCTGTTGGCAGTCTGCTTCGACGAGGCAGAAAGTGGCGAGCTGGTGAGAGTTGTTGCAGTTCATTGGGAAACAATGTGCACACCATGCTTGGCAAGACCGTAGCTTCGGAATCGAAAAATTTTTTTTCTCAAAATGAGAGCTGGTATGAATCTTTCTTTGCTGTCTTGCCGTATCACTACTGCTTGTCTCAGGAGCGGCTTGCGGGTCAGTGGGTTGAGATTCAGTGCACGCGCGACGGCAGCAGCTTAAAAGTGGCAGCTGCGTCGAAGTGGAAGCCTGATCCGTTGGTCCAGAGGACCTGTTCAAGTCTCTTCGACCGTAAGGCATCTCAGCTAGTGATGGAAACTCATGAAGAGGAAGAAATTCGAAAATCCATTAAGCACGCTGACAGGAATGTCGCCATCCTGGATGCCTCTATGGATGCTCCTTGGGCCATAACTCCAGAGAAATTTACATCGTAAGCCAATGCTTCCAGCTATATATGTCCCATGTCCCTTTCGAAAGCAATATTATGAACAACTCGCGTGAGTTTTACGATTTCCCTGGATCAAAGCCAGAAAAGATGAGACCAAGCTCACACATGGAGGAAACACTCGCAAGTACAGCCGATAGTTGCTGTTCCCAGATTTAGAATTTTCATGTTTCATCTCTGCGCCATCCAGAGTACAAACTTTTAGGCACCTGTAAGCAATGAGCTGATTAAGATAAAACTGGTTTTTTGATGGCTGTCTTTTGTGTTTAGGTCTTTAGTTGGGTCGAAGTCTCTTAATATCTTCAAGTTAATGTCATCTCTTCCAAAGGGTGTGCTGACTCCAGCCTCAGTAGCTTTGCCTTTTGGCAGTCTGCAGCGCACACTGCATGCTCCTGAGAATGAGCAGGCACTGGCTTCACTAAGTGATGCGTTAAGGCGGCTGTCGATTCGTCTCAAGAACTCAGAAGCCGAGGCTATTTTCGAGGTATGCCGCAAGTCTATTGCAAATATATCAGTCCCTAAGGAGCTTCGCGAGGCGCTGAAGGAGGCGCTTCAAAGTAGCGATGCACAAGGCGGGACCAGCGGCGATTCCAGCGCCAACATGGGTCGGCGCCCTCACCTTCTAGATCTTTGGAAGAAGAATGGTGATAAGAAATGCACAGAAGCCTTGGTCCAAGTGTGGTCTTCGCTCTTCGGACTACGCCCTTGGATTTCACTCACAAAAGCATCAAGAGATTACTGCGAACTCAATATGGCAGTTCTTGTGCAGGTGAACAGCTGACACCCAACGGTAGCTTCTGCTTGCGTAAAAGTTCCTGAAGCTCTTTGTTGAGTACATTCAGGGGCAGGGCGGGTAACGGATTGGAGTAAATGCTTTTTGCTGCAGCTTTTCGGTTTTAGGTGCCGTCTTTAGGCAATGCGGCTTCAGTTTTATTACTCTTAGCAGTGTGGTTCGGGGAGTTCCTTCACTAGCCCGGGCATGCTGCATTTATGTCTTCTTCTTAGGAGCTTCTTCCTGTTCGTTATTCCTTCGTTTTGCACACGAAGAATCCGTTTTCACAGGACGCTGAGGAGTTGTACGGAGAAATGGCCCCAGGTGAGGGCGCTGCGATTCGCACAGTGTAGTATTTCAACATTTTAGTGTGCCTTAAAGCAGACCCATCTGCCTCCTGTGCAATCCTGGCTTGGCGTGCTTCCGAGTTCCCTTTTCGCACACACTCAGCATACAGTTTCACTGATTCGCTGGTAGAACAAAGGGGCAGTAGTAATTCTCTTATGCGTGTTCGCTGGCTGTTTCTCTCTCAGGACTTGGAGAGGTCATTGTGGGCAATTATGCGGGTCGGGCTTTAGGGTGGACGCAGAAGCGTTGTGGGGAGGCGAAAGTGATTGCATTTCCAAGCAAGAGCGTCGCTCTGACGTGCGATTCGTGTCTAATTTTCCGGTAGGTGACTGTTTCTCCTGTGGTTCCCATTTTATTCTCAATGGGAGCGTAAAGATTGAATATAGCAACCTTCTTAAAGCGGCACTCCTTGTTGGAGGCGGCGGAATCGACGCGGAAACAGCCGATCGTGCTAGGACATTACGAATCAAGAGGTCAATGTCTTAGATTACCTAGGTGTCTGTGTCAAATTCCCTTCTTTTGACTAATTCTTGTGCCGGTGCAGTTCAGACTCGAACGGTGAAGACCTCGAAGGGTTTGCAGGGGCGGGCTTATTCGAGTCTATTCCGGCGGAAAAGGCCGTTTGGCTACCATTGTGTTACTGGAGGCAACGCCTGGTTAGCGACAGAGATTACAGACAAGCATTGCTGTCGAAGATCAGCAAGGTGGGAATATTTTCGCCAGTTATCTTAACAGATGACAAGGCGGGCTTTGTTGTCATGTTTTCTTAACTGGAAGTAGATAAATCAACAGGAGCCCATACTTTATTTTGGAGCTGAAGACAAAGAATAGCACTCGGGCAGTTCAGGCAAGTGGAGGTTGCTCTGCGCTGCGTGCAGATTGGATTTTTGGTTGAAGAGGCTTACGGAGCCCCGCAAGACATTGAGGGAGTCGTCATTGGTGAAGATACAATTGCCCTTGTGCAGACTCGGCCGCAGGTTTAGAGCTCAACGTCAGGAGGTGCAGAAGTGTTAACAGCCACTTTCGTGGACGTGGAGGAGGATACATGCATATCTAAATGTAGTTGCAGATAGGGGTACACTGCGAACATTTATTTACGTAGTGTGAAGCACCATTCGCGTGACACTACTACAACGCGGATGCTGCCTTCCAGATTTTGTTAAATGCACACTTTAGATGCATTGTTCTAATAAAGATGGGCGTCTCTTTAGCAAATGAGGGCTGCATTCCCAATCACCGCACTATTTTGGCACGATATCAGCAAGGAGCATCTTACTCGATTTCCCATAACATTCTGTTCTTTCGACAGCTGTTATGCGATTTTTTGTGCTTCAAAATGTTTTCGACGCGGTGAGTGACGATAAGTTTGCCAAAACTCAATGCTTATTAACGGGACTAGATACCTGGCGCCCCGATGAACTAGCCCTCCCTCCTTCCCCAATCAAATTCTGGTGCATTTTGGTGGGCACGCCAGTTGTATGTATATTCCGTCCAAGGTAAATCATTTCGTTGTCGCTTTGACGCAAGAAGCGTACTCTTTGAGAGCGCATGTGCACAAACGGGCTCTTTCTTTGAGCCTTGTTTTTTCCGAAGGGCCGAAGTCAAACGGCGTATGCGGTCTGTGGGATATAAGGTGCGTGCTGTACCCAGCATTGCATGACGGAGACAGTTCGCTTTTACAAATTCAGGGCACTGTGTCTTGAAGACCAAAATCTCTGTAAAGCTGGGGAAAAACTCCTAGCTACGACAAGTGGAGCTATTTTCCTTCCTACCCGGCACTACTTGAGTTCAGCGCGCTATGGATTGCACCCTTAATTCCGTAGGGCAGTCCATGCAGTAGGCAACCGCAAAATTATGTACTGGTAGCATATATAGAAGGGCTATACGGAGTGACTGAGGTCCTCTGCGTTGGTGTAAATTCAGGAATCCCTTCGGGATTTGCCAGTGCCTCAGGCCAGGTGACATGACTCTTTCTGTTATCCTTGCCCATTATTATCTGCACACTTAATTCAGTCTAATGAAAATGGTCCATTTCACAGCGTGACGCCGGCAGGTTGCGTCGTTGGCAAGTCGGAAGTGTTTGGCTTTTATGATGCAAAAGTCACTTGACAAGTGAAATCGTATGTCTTCTAGACTAGCAAGCGATTCCTGTGGTCAATAAAACATAATTAAATGCCTCTTAGAGAGACCTACGTGGTTTTGGGCTGCACATCTGAATGGAATTGTTGCGTTAGTAATGCAGCGGCTAAGCGTAATGCTCCTTGATAAGGTACTTTCGGGTCATACGCAAGGTGTGAATCAACTTAAAGCCGCTTAATCCTGTCTTTTGTCAGGAGCAGACAAAAGATTTGGGTTTCATCATGTTGGCAGAGAGAAATCCTCCGTGGTCTGCAGAGGTGAATCATGCGTGTTTACGTCCCTCTCCAAAGAATCGTGAAGCTGCCTTACGGTTTAAAGTGTAAATTAAATTAAAAGGCGGTTTGAGTTCAGTGAACGAGAAAGAACAAATACACGAGATGCATTTAATCGCAGGGGAGACAGCAGAACATCAACTTAAGTAGTCATGCTACTCAGTCAAACTAAACCACCAGCAGACGACATGTATCGACTCACTCACTTAAGGGGCTGAGAGTCTCATGTGGGAAGCCCCAGCTGCAGCGCAACACACGATTCTAGGAAAACAGTTTAACCAATTAAAGACGCCTAAGCAATAAATTGGCAGCAGTCTGCAGAGGAAAAAGAGTCCGTAGACTGGGCAGTCCTTTGACGCTCTTCTGCAGTGCCGGGGTCGGAGCCTGCAGCAGCCCTGCTGCGAACAAACTGACGCAGACTCTGCGGCAAACGCGGAAATTACCCCCACTTCGGTTTTGGGCCTTCGTTGGAACTACTTTTCTCCTGAGGGAGTTGGTTTGCCTTTCATTCGTGAATAATTGCAGCTGAAGGTGGCACTGAGAAATGCTCCTATATTTGCTTCCCCCATGGAAGTATACGAAGGCAGAGCTGGCCTCCGTGCAAGGAAAGTAGGGGCGCTGTTCTGGAAGCAGCACAAGCAGCACGTCTTCAAATCACATATTCATATTAAGAATACCAGATCGCACGAAATACATGCCTCGGGAGTTCGGAAAAAACGTTTTTCCTTAAAAGAGGGAATGCACCTCCGCCGCGGTCGGATCTCAGGAGCGGCCGGAAGAACTGCACCGGAGATGCCCACTAGCTGAAACCGAGTGAAACTCCTTTAAACCAGCAAGTAAAGCACTTGGAAATCCAAGCCACGGAGTTATGGATGTTGCATAGTGGACCCCGTGGCTGCACCCTTACTTTCCTGTGTTGATAGCACAATGGCCATCAGCTGACTGCCAGCGTGAACCACCTACCACGAATGCGCAAGTGGGCTCCTTCGAAAACGGCATATTTGCCACATCAAAAAAATTTATAGCATGAGGACAGAAACACTGTAGGAACCTTTCCATGCTTTGTAGCATAGGAAAGTTCCCACAGTGCTTCCGCCGGTATGTGGGTAAATCGCATGTGTGGGGACGTAAGGTAGTTCGGTATCCATACTCAGGCAGACGTATCTAAAGGACACTATAGATCTGGGAGAACAGGAACTGCTGAAGTAGCGGCTCCACGTTAGAATCTGTAGCCTGTCCAAATCTAAACTGCTGGGGAGCTGCCTAGAATTGAATTAGGTGGGGGAGACCACGCAGACTGTACGACTGAGAGTGGATAACAAGCTGCGCATCAGCTGAGGAAATTTCCCCAGGTTGTTAGGTATGATACTCGTGGGTGGCCGGAAGCAGTAGCCTTCGCCAAGGGTGGAACGAGCAGATGGCGCCGGCCCTGTTCGCCGGTCCGGGCTGGCCTTAACAGAGAGGTGAAACAGAGAGCTGCACAACGCCAAATTTCCAGCGACTGCGAATAAGAGCAACTAAGAGGAATCCGAAGAAGGTCAGAGAACGCCATGATAGCAGGGGCTTGAGGGAGAGGCATTACCGTGTTGAGAGTGTATGAGGCTGGGCCACCGAGAAGAGGAAAAAGAAGGCCCCAGCAGGAAACAACGGACTGACAGGCTTTGGAATGAGTGAAAGAGGTATAGTGGGGGACGTTAGAGTGATTCAGACTGTTCTACGCCTGCAGAACCACGTAGAGGCAAAAGGACTCTACCGGATGCCTGGAGCGAGGGTGAAGCCGCCTATGTCTTTTGCTAAGCAGACGTACGCGCTGCGTCAATCGAGCTCACTGGGCTCCATAGAGTTGGCGAAGTAGTGATGCGTGGGTCTACAGCAAAGCATAAGCCAGAAAGCCCTCCATTAAATGGAGGATGGAGATACGGATACCAGGAAATGCAAAAAAGTGTCCGTCGGAGTATGCAGAGGGGCCTTTGCCCCCTGATATAAGGAACGTAAAAGCAGGCGCCATCCGGGAAACCGGAAAACCGATACAAAAATAGGAGGCGAAAACAAGCAAGGATATGACGTGCCAGGTTGCACGAAGATAAGGCTGAGCCCGTCTGAGACCTTAGATGCCGAGCTGCTGTGATGTCATCTGTTTTGTGAAGAAAAGGGCGATAAGTGGCGAGTGCGAGTGTGCTGAGTAGACTCTCCTGCAGTCATCTGACTTTATGCTGTTGGCAACATTGCTACACTAGTACCCCTGCCACTAAAACCTGCGTTCACCCCGCATCTCGATATATTTTGTGCCATTCATTTTAAATGCGAAATCAAGATCTGCTGAAGTTTCGGTGCGTCGCCGGAGGTGAACATCCTTTCGTCTTTGGATCCTTGGCATATTCACGCAATTAGAAAAGGAAAACAAGGTGAAAGTGTCTCCTGCTGAAGTTCGTGAAATCAACCGGATCTAGCACGCATCGTTGAGCAGTGAAGGTTTCTGGCGCATTAGTGCTAGATGAGTTAAACAAAGCATCAGTGGCGTGATGCTCCTAGGTGACATGCATCTGCTTGAGTTTGAATATATTGCAAAATACACCACTAGAAGGCTGCTGCCTGGATAAAGTCACTTGTCTGAAAGCGACGATATTTTGCGCTGGGAGTGCAGATCTCTGCGACGTATCTTTTCATGGTGTACCGGAGTAAGCGGCGGCTGCTTGCAGATCAGGAGGAGTCGATGAGTGTTATGAGCTTCCGGCCTGCTAACGCTGAAGATCTGTTCGTTGACAACTCTTTTGTGCTCCACGTTGAAAGCAAGGTGAAACGCAGTCTGTGTGAAGGCCTGCAGTTTGATTAATTTCAAGCAATAATCTTTATTCCCAGAGATATTATCCTGAGTGCAAGATTTCGCAACCCATTGATTCTTTCCAAGTCTGCACCATCAATCGCGTTTTCTGTGCGTGGCTTAAAAAAACTGCTCAAGGGGAATTTTGGCTGCAATGGCGTGCAACAAAAGACTGAATCCGATATGTGAAAATACAGTCTTCGTGTATTATCCCTTTGCAGCAAGAGCACTATTCGAATCGGTAGCAAACTCTCACTTTCTTCGGGTAGCAACGTTTTCGTCATTATCCTTATTCTGTATGCACACTACGGAGAAATGGAGTTGTAGCCGACGCAAGTAGTGCTGCCACATTTCAAAGCGCAAGCAAACGCTGGCAGCCCCAGCGGATGCTACCTTCAGCTAAGCTCCTTGCTGAATGCTTGCTTCACTGGTAACTTACCTGGCTGAATTTATGCTGGCTTGGGGGAGTGTGCTCACCTTTCACGTACTGAAGGCTGCAATGCTGTTTGCTTGTAGCGGTTTTGTGAAACGATCTTTGGTTTAGCGCTTGGTGTTTCAACAGGTGTTGCTTTCCTCTCGCTGTTTGCATACTCAGCTGAATGAGGCCTGAATTCGGTAGCATGAGTTTATGGCGAGCAAAGAATGTGAGCCCCAAAACATTTGTTTCGTTTGTCGCTGCTAAAGACAGGCATTGCACTTTCGATGCAAGCAAAAGGTGCAGGGCGTATCATTAACATGTTGCATGTTTAGC